GCTGTGTAATATACAGAAATAAATTAGACATTAAACAATGAGATCAAATATACATGACTAAACAGATCCAACAGAACTAATATGGAAATGTTCAATTCCCTTCAATTTACATAATCAAAATATCATTATCTATTTAAAACACATACCCAATAACCAAACTCAATGGCTGACGTAACATTCACCACAGACCAGAGGCTCCAGAACAGATGCGATAGCATTGTAAATAGTTGTATTTCGGCATCGACCGCATCGAGCTCGTCCACATGGGGCTCGTAGTGCTCATCATCGTGATATTTCTTCAGATAGTTGACTATAAAATCACGACGTTGATGCACCGTTGCATATTGATGTTTGTAGTGGTGAAAGTATGGGAATTGAGGATTGGTATAGTCGAAGGTCCACTCAATGAAATGATTAGCCAAATCGAAGCCACGATAATTGTAGGCGCAATATTCAAAGTCAATGATAATGAGATCTGGCTCATGATCGGACATAAAGCTCGAGTCCAGTGCGGAATCATCTGTGGTGTCCAATTCCGGGCAGGGTGACGCACTATGCGACTTACTGCATTTATATATAGGGGGAGAGACAGAGAAATGCGATTAGCTCAGTTAACGATAGTGATTAGATGATATGGCATGGATAACCTGTATGTATTTGGTAATTTGCTTATGCCGAATTAAAATTTCATTTTAACGACCGCAGCAATGGGGCCGGCCATCTAGAATTTAAGGTAGTTTTAACAAGCATACAGAATAGATATATATATGTATATATGTATATATAACTTAATTACTAATTTAGCAGTTGGCAAATAAATACGGGTTAGTGTCCAATAATGGGTTCTACTAAGCCACACTAAGCTCACTCACTTGTCATCCGCATCCAAATTACTGTTGCCATCCAGACTATCGCCCAGGGTCTCATCAAAATTGGATCTATGGCCAGAGTTGAAATAAATTATTGGCATCTCTAAGAGTACATAAATTAAAAATAAATCGATCTACCTTAGACTACTTATTGATTCTCTGGGTGTACGATCACTTCCATTGCTTGATTGCCGCAATAATATGTTGCCCTCTTGCAGATCGTTGTGGCAAAAGACAACGGGATAGTCGCCTGCCTCTATCACCGATCTTAACCAGGCGATCTCCTGAACGTAGTCAATGGAGCGCATGAGTTCGCGTTGCTTTTGCAATACTGTCGAATTCGGTTTCGATTCGATTTTGCCCTTTACAATGCTATCCAGGCTGGCCAGCCAACGATCCATGCAATTCCATATCCAATCCGGTTCCTTCGACATTGGTATATTCAAGCTGTGTATTTCGCCCATTTTCTCAGCGATCTTCATCGAAATACGAGCATCGCCCAGCTCTGTGGTGGCCAATGTGCGTGCCTGAATAAATAGAAAAGGAAAACATATAACATTATTTTCAGGTATTATGAGCGACAGACAGGGTATTGAAAAGTCCTACGCATTTGTGCGGATTTCTATATAGAACTGAGCTAAGCTGAAACTTATCACATTAATAAATACTAAATAAAATAAAATATTAGATTTATATGCGCCTATTACAGAAGTATTAGACAGAAATAGGATATTATAATAAAAGTTTTTTTTTAAGGACTTGACTTTAGTCGGAAGTCTCTTTCTATCATATCAAGCTATATAGAGAAACACTTTGACCATTCATAAGTACATGTTATTATCATTTTATAGCGAATGTCAAATTGATCAAATTTTATAAATATCTTAATATCTTATATGTTTAAATACTTGAACAATATAAAAATATGTATACAAAAGAGCAGAAAACATTTGTAGAGTTTTTCTATTTTTCTATTCTATATTGAGTACACCATTAACATATATATATATTTTTCTCATTCCTATCTATAATACAGATATTTACTCGATTAATATTAACATATTGATCACAGCTGGAACTATCACTCAGTCTATCTAGCTATGCAAACAAAATCTTTCTTCAAATATGACAACTAATGCTATACAATCTCAATCTCAATATTAAAAGACAAAATAAATCTGTAGATGTTCCACTCTTCTACTCCGTTCTACTCTTCTACTCTGTTCTATATACTTCTCCTGCCCAACCCACCGGTATATATTGCTCAATGCGTCCACCGGGAAATATGCCATGCAGCTTCGGTCCAAAGTTACGTTCGCTGAGCAGGGCAAATACCACAGACTCTGTTATCATGGTCTCCAGGGCATGATCGCCATGCGTTTGGCCATAGATGCGCAGCAGCACCTATAATGTGTTGAGAGTTTATTTTTATTCAAGTATTAGCGTTTATTAAGAGATTGTCACATGTGATCGACCTACCTCACGGGGCTCCTGCTTGGGACTGTGCAAGCGTCGCAGCAAACTAGAATCGCCGCTGTCGCTATCAAAGCGTCGTCTTTTATTTGCCTGTTTAGCGCTCAGCGCCGCATCGTCATCGTCATCATAGGCGTGGGCGGTAGCTGTGGGATTTTTTGTTAGCCCCGACGCAACATCTTTGATATCGTTGTTGTTGTTGTTGTTATTGTTAATGTTATTGTTGTTGTTGCTTTCCCTATTCTTAGCAAATGCCGAGGCGGCTATGACGTGTTTGCCAATGTTGACGTTGACATTTCCTGACTGCTGCTGCTGCTCTATCTCCAACAATTGCTGTTCGTCAAAATCATCCAAGTCGGGCAGACTGACGTAATACAGGAAATTCGAGAGACCACCGCTAAAAGGCAATAACATATTGGTACAGATTAAATTAACTTTTTATGGACTATATGCAAATCTATACTATGAAACTCACCTGATGCGCTTTACAACCAACTGCTCTGGGGTAACCACCTTCCAGCGTCCGGTTAGATAGTCACGGCAAATGCGGGCAGCCGCTTGGCGAATTTCCTCAAGTGTGGCCTATTTGGATGTGTGCCAAGAGCGTTAAATGTACCAAAAATGAAAGAGAAACAGAAAGCGTAAATGAGTAAACCAGAAGAGAAGAGAGTACACGTTACAGAGACAAGAGAAAAAGAGAGAGAGCGCGCCAGAGAGAGAGAGAGAGAGAGAGAGAGGGCTCTTGACGTTTACGAATTGACAAAACAAATGCGGGTACTCATACCCAGCGAAGGTTTCGCGAGGGTGAGTATTGGTGGGTTGTACTAATCATATCAAATATGTACATATAGAAGAGTAATATACAATATAATATATATTACAATGTGTTCAATATAAAGCAACAACGAAAAAAATGGCATGCAATATACACAAGACTGAAAATAAACAATGTCTAAATTCTAAGTAGCCTCGCGTACAATTTTTAGTACAAGTGCAAGGTCGCGAGAGTGCTAAAAATATTTCTAGGCGTACAATTCATATATAGTATATAAAAATAAAATATAATATATAAAAAAATATAATATATAAATATATATAAAATATAAAAATATATACTATATAAAAATATATAATATATAAAAATATATAATATACAAAAATATATAAGACATACAAAAAATATATATAAAAAAAAAAAAAAAAAAAAAAAAAAAAAAAAATAAAAAAAAAAAAAAAAAAAAAAAAAAAAAAAAAAGTACATGATGTCTATCAGGAGTTACATTATTTGTAGGCTAAAGAAGTAATTTTACATTTTTTTCTACTAGTCTAGTATCTAATCTTTTTCTAAATAGTAGCTAAAATGTATCTAACATATATATCAACTGTGCGCAGCACGTACCTAACTGATAGCAAACATGTACGTAACATATGTATAACATGTACATAACATATACCTAACATATGCATAACATGTACATTACATATACTTAACATATTAGTCAACATATACCTCTAATGCACCTCTAATGCTATGTAACATAAAGCAACATAAACCTAACATAAACATAACATGTACCTATTTTCTAATCATATACCCTACTGGTGTATATTTTCAGAAAAATACTATGAAAATACTTACAAATTGAATTTATATGAAACGTAAATGAGGTTGAAATAAAAATATGTACAAAAATAGCAATTTAGCCAATGAATTTTGTTTACAGGCTAACACATTAGACATGCTGCAAAAAAAAAAAATCCCATGTTTACCAATTATCATGTGCAAAACATATTATAATAGAATTTTCAGATTATCGAAAAGTTTAAAAGAAAATATCAGATATGTTGTATTGTATTATATACAATAAATATATAAGATTAACTTAAATATTGTTCGCTTACATTGCGTCGAAAATGTTGCCAGATATGTTCATAATTACAGCGTGGACGTTTACAACAATTTTGATCAATATCTAGAAATTTCTGCTGCTTTTGACGACGAGTTTTATGTTTAATGCAACCTTTTCGTTGTCTCATACTACGATTATTCCGTTTTACAAGAAATCACGACAATATTAGAAATACTATATATGTAAGACAGTGTGTAAATCTAATTATATAAAAAACTATATAAATCTGATTTAACAATTCCGTATGCACGCAAGTCTTCAATGTTGTTCCGTATTAAGTCGATTAGTTCCTCACAGCTGAGCGTTCAATAATAAACTGAAACAGCTCACAATAGAACTGACTCATCGTAGCCCTGAGATGCTCGCTCACCCTACTCACTCATCTCGCTCACGCACTCGCTTTCGCTCTTTTTCTCTATGTCTTACTCTCTCACTCTGTCTCTCTCTCTCTCTCTCTCTTTCTGTCTTTGGTGGTTGCTGCACCACCAACCACCTTGCCTTGGGGTTGCGCTACGGCTAAGGCATATGTTCACCTAGCACACAAACCACGAACGTAACTACCAACTACGTCAATTGCTTTGCCTTCTCTGATTTTCAACAGATGTTCGATTTCTGGACGACAGGTAAAAAAAAAAAAAAGAAAGAAATACAACTTAAGGAGAGAAAAACCGTTTTAAACTGGTTTAATGGCAATTCATTGTAGTCTAGCACCTATTTAAGATTAGATTGTACCATTCAAGTACTTGTAAATGTTGTTAAAAACTTACAACTAAGGCCTTGATGTACATATAACATCAATGAACGTTCGTTGACCTGTTTGCCAGTTGGACAACTGTTCAAAGTTTAATTTGGCATATTATATCATATGTATAATAGGAAAATTATTTTTATATAGTATTTCAATAAATCCCCAGTAAATTAGTCAATTTAAAGAAAACGATATTTTCTATAAATTAGAGTTACATATACAAATATAATATTTATAGAAAACATATATATTATACATATATGTATAAATTTTTCCTCACAAGTAAAACCTTCTAGTTGGATCTAATCCATATGCAGCAGGTATGCAAAATTTTTCGTTTGTTTTAAGGTGCACGAAGCGCTGCAACCCTACAGGATTAGCTCAACTTTCTCTCTCTAACTCTCCTCTGTCTCTCTCTCTCTCTCTCTAACTCTCCTCACTCTCTCTTTTTCTTGATTTTTCTCTCTTTATTTTTAGATTGATTTTCTCTCTTCTCTTAAATGATCCAAGACATTTTCAACTAACTTTCTTCATTCATGTTTAACATTCATTATGCTTAGTCATAAAATTAAATGTGTTTATTGGTTTTTTGCAATGTCCGACTTGCTGTCCGTCCATCTGTTTGGCTGTCCGTATGAACAACATGTATTACAACTCTATCAAAGATAGAGAATAGAAATTTGGGGATTAGACTTTGTGAATGAGTATTCTCCAGTCGTTAAAGCCCGACTGCAAAGTTCTTACATGTTTTATTACGTAAAAGTTTTAATATCCTAAAACTATAGGTGTTAAAAATAAAACTAGTTTAATCCATCGATGCATCAAAATGCCGACAACTTTCACATCACACACGCATATGCACGCACACCCACACATGTAAATATAACGAGTTCAATGTAAATTTTGTGGAATTTTCCACGCAAACAGCGCAACAAGAAAATCTTTCATCTACGCACAAAGCAAATGTCTCTTATCAAGTGGAACATGTATATATATTATAAGAATTATAATATAATTATTTCATATGATGTGTAAAACAATAAGAGAGAGAGAGAGAGAGAGAGAGAGAGAGAGAGAGAGACAAATGATGGCCAGAAGAAAATACAAGTATATATACTATAACAAAGCTTTATACCTGAACCTGATAAGCCCATTAGAGTCATTTTATAAATCGTAGCTGTACAGAGAACTATAAAAATTACAATAACAACTATATGAATAAGACCTTTTTCGCAAAGCCTGTTCCGGGCCTTATCAGCTCTATTCAAACTTATCAAGAACTGTTTTATATAGTGCTCACTGGCAAAAATTTAATCGGAAACTATTTTACCAAAAGCAAATCTTTGAAGTACGCAGCTGTAGATTTTATAATTTATATTTTACGGCTTGCCTACATGGCAGTCAGGCAACGATTGATAGTGACTAGGCAATGATCTATTTAAATAATTTACCTGATATTGCTGATAATCTATTTAAATAATAAATTTGATATTGCTGATTTTTGGTTTAATACTTTAAAGTATTTTTTATTTTCTAACTATCAAATATATAGCCTAATATGCTTAGGGTTCTATCCAAAAGCTCATTAAAGCTCTTCGAAATTATACACTTAATAAAATACAAAATTAATTTAGATTGTACTTAAGATACAGATAAAGATTGCTTAATTACTGTATTTAATTTACTGTTAAAAAATGTTTACCGTCATTTAATAATATTTTTTTAATATTATGTGCAATTTTCTTTTACATTTGTAAACTATATATTTAAAAATCTAAAAATTAAAATTCCTTTAATCACAATGTTCATATTAATTATTAATTATTAATTGGTAAATATTCAATATACAATTCTATATTTGATGTGAAACATGCGACTAATAATTAGCTTAAGCTAGTGGGAGTATCTCAAATAAATATATACAATTTATCAAATACCTATCGATGGGTATGTAAACATTAATAAATTACAAATTGGAATTTGATAAGCAAACTGTTTTTATGTTCATGATAAGTTATTTTTAACATTTGATCAGATTAAAGACTTTTTCAAGTATATTTTACTAATGCCACATTAAATTATTTGCGGAATTTTAATTGATAAAAAAAGGTTTAATGTATTCAAACTCAAATTAATATAAATGTATAGAAGTTTCGACATCTTCAAAATTTTATTAATATTGATTATTAAAACCAATTTAAGCTACGTTCTTTAAGTACTTATTATTAGTCTAATTGTCCGTTTTCTGTATCTTATCTTATCGCTAATACAAAATAAATCTAATAAAAAAATATTTATATGTAAAATATAAAACAAAATAATTTTTAATTAAAATTAAAATTAAAATATATACATAAATAAATAAAAAATAAAAATAATAATAAAAAGTTAGGATATAGTATAAAATTGAAATATATAATTATTGAATACACTGTAGTAATAAAAAAAAAGTTCAACTTTAATTATATTATTATTTTATTATTCTAATTTAAATCCACTTAGGGTTTTTTATTATTTGTAGTTTTTTTCCGCAACTACAAGTTTTTTTTTCTATTTTGCTCACTTACATTGTGAATCACTGCGATTCATTAAAATAATCAGAATAATCAAAAGTTGATTTATAGAAAACTAACAAGAATAATTACGACAGCGCTTGGGTAAATCCCATTTATATACATATTGTGTGTATGTGTGTGTGTGTGTGGGTGTGTGTATTTTCACGGTGCATAATTGTTGGCTTTAAGCAATTACCTGACTAAAGCTATGCGTCTGCAATTCGCTGCGCAACTGCGCCGCAGCAGCGACGGCACGTGAATTATTGCGTCGACTCTGGCAACTCCAACGGCCGTTAGAATCGCGCGGGTAGCGGTAAATGCGCGTCAGCGTTTGGCTAAGGCAGCGCGTGCTGCCGGTGCGCAGAGCAACCTGTGCGGCGCCGATTGCGATAAGTGTCTGCGAGACGAGCTTTAACCCCAGAATATATGTATGTACATAAATAAATCAACAAAATATGGCAAAAATTGAAGAGAGTAAAACAAAAGCAATATTTACACGACAACAAAAGAAACAGAAATAATAACAACAAGAGAAACATGCTTATCAACAACATGCCGCAAGTTGTATTAAAACAATGTATAACGACAATGTATAACCGTGCGATAAGCCCAACAAGGAATAAGCTAGCCGCGTGGAGTCATCATTTAAAAAATAATAATAAAATAAAATAGCAATAAAAAACTGAAATCAAAGGCAACAACGGAAGAGCCTTGAAGTGATCGACTCTGAAATACGCTTTCAGATAAGGGGCCAAAACCTATACAACTACATATATGTATAATCAGTTCATTGAGATTAATGACATCAATGCCGTGTAATACGCATTGAAAATAAAATCAATCCATTTTCTGTAGTACTTTTGCGGTTAACACAGTAGAACTATATTTAAAAATATATGAATAACCATCTTTTTTTAGCGCTATCGATTAAAGCTATTAACACAGCATAATAGAAATAGATATAATTACATACATATGTATGTATATACACACCAACAAATTGAATACCAAAATCAAAATGAATAACTATTGCTCATTACAAACTTTAAAGCCAACAAAATATCAGCAGCTGGCAAAAGTTAATTCAACATATACATATATACATATATGTATATACATATATGTATATTTTATTTAAATAGTTCACATTGCAAGCGACAAACGTGTTACCAAAATTAATGGATTTCTTGATACGCTGTGCAAGAGCCTGAGAACCGCCAAAGATTTTGCGATGACACACGAATGAGGGTATCGGTCAATGTTCGCGAATTACGTAGAGAGTTCGTAGCAACACAAAAAATAATGCAGAGAAGCTACTACCAAGAGCGCCAACAACAATAAAACGGGTTATAAAGCATTCTCTGCATTCTGCATTCTCTTACCGTTTGCAAATTGTTGGACATCTTACTGCATACACTCTTCCTCTTTCTCTCGCTCTACCTTCCACACGCGACACGATGTCCAAAATGGTACTTAACAACAATGTATGACTGGGTTCCTGTTGAGACTGTGTTTGTTTTTTTTTTTTTTTTTCAATTTCTTTTTATTATTATTTGTTTTTTATTTACACCTTCCACTTGACAGAAACAATTACAGACATCCACGTGCGCTATGAACTGCTACGTCACTGTTAATAAAACTAAGTGTAATTACAATAAAACGTATAAATAAAAGCAACTAGTTGAGCTGTTGACTGTTTCTATTTGATTAACGGGTTTAACGTTGCACTGCTTTCCGCTTTAACATCCACTCGCGCGCACGATTCAATTGCTACTGCGATCGAGCTTTGAGTCGATGCAGAGTGTCAAAAGAGGACGTGCGATTTTCGCCTACTCTTCGTTATCTTATCACCTTGGTTTAGCACTCTGCACGGCAGCTCTCCTCTCTCTCGCTTTTGCAATTCGAACTGCGCTGGTGAGTTTCATAGCGCTCTGCCAATAAGCTTTTGCAAGTGAACACCAACAAGCAACAATCGAGAATTTTGCTTTCCCACCAATTCGCCATTGCATTTCACAACCTGACAGACGACTCAAGGTTGATTGCTACAGCAGCTTCTATACATTTTTTTTTTTTTTAATTGTAAACAATATTATATGGTAATATTATCTCTTATTCGGATTAGTTTAATTGTGAAATAATAATTCAACCAGTTTTGGTTTATTACTTGTTTACTTTTAGACCCGGTCTACTTTTTTGGGTCAAAGCCAATCAATTACGTTTCAAATAAATATGTTTTCCAAAGCTCCATTCTGAGTTTTCTAAAATTCATGCCAATTGGCACGCGCACAGTACTGAAATATTGTTACACGAGGGCTGCTCAAGCCGTGTCTATTTCAACATGTACACTAAATAAAATAATCCACTACTTCTGGAGCAGCGCTCGACGAAAAGCTTTCAGTTTACATGGCCAACACAATGCGCTGCACGTTTCCAGCTTTCAATGAAAGCTATCTCGAAAATGCTAGCTTACCACTGAAAAAGCTTTATCCGTCGAGCTTTTGCAGATGCTTTACAAATGTACTTTAAATGTGACTCACATCCGCACGGATGCGATCATATTTATTTTCGTGTATTTACTGTATACTAGATTACATTAATATTGAGCTTTTTTCCATGTAAGAAAAAACGCGTCAGATTAGATTTTAAATGCAAATATATACATACATGTGTATGTACATGTGTACATGCACAAAATGCCTCATTTAAATGAATATGCTAATTCCACGTTGGAGCTTTTTGCGACGCATTTCAATGCCTAAAAAGGTTGCTGCTGATAAGCCATGTCTATTGGTGTACAGTCGCGTCCCACATGTGCATGCAAAAACAAATACACACATACCAAAATACAATGCGAGCGAGTTCTAGGAAGTTTCTAGAAAGGCCCCCGAAATACAACCAAAGAGTAGACAGAATAATTAACTTGATTTTTGTTTTTGTATTTCTTTTGTTCTTCCATTTATTTTTTATGTTCTCGAATGTTGTTTTTATATTATTTCATTTTCTCTGCATCTGGCTACGTTTTGTTAGCCGTTTTCTGCTTGTTGTTATTGTTGCTTAACTTGGCTGAATGCTCTGTGCGGCTCTTTAAAAGGTTTTGTATTCTTTAATTTTGCCACTTCTTCACATACATACATACACTGCTCTAATTTTAATTGTGTTCTGCGTCTACCTCTTATTTCATTTGTCTTTCTGTTTTTCTGCATGCGTTATTGCCTATGGTTTGGTCTGTTCTTGTTGCTTTTTTCGCTGCTCTTCTTTTGCCATTAAACGATTTTGTCAAAGTTTAAGGAGTGCGAGGGAGAGAGCAAGAACGCTGAATAAAAGTGAGGGGGAAGAGGAACCTATTTAAATAACAAACCACCAAGAAACACTCGTATATACTAGCATATGTATATAACGCTCTTTACACAATATTGGACACGCTAAATGCAAAATGAATAGATAGACTTGGCCAAGTTAAGTAAATAGTATATAAAAAAAAAAAATCAAAAAATTATGGTTGTACATTAAAGTTGTTAAATATAATTCAATTTGGCGAGTCGGCGCTGTTGATTTCATTCATATAAAAACGTGATCTTCCTTTCATATATGCATATTTCTATTTATAAATCTTTCAAGTGAGAAGGAGCTTGGAAGGGGCGCGGGCAGCTTTATGTTACTTCATGTTTCTTCTTTAGGAGTTTTTTCATTCTCTTTGTGTTTGCTTTCTTTTATCGAGTTTTAAACATAGAACTTGTTTTTTCTTTTAATATAAATACTCATATATAATATAGGATCATACATAAAATTAAAAAAGAAATTATCTTAAAAATGACAAATGCGTAATGTTAAATTTGTTTTCGTTTACTTTTACAAGACTTGCAAGTTGTTTTTGTATAGTTTGCTTCTTTTTTTATTATAATATTAAATTTGATGCTTTCCTTGTGTACAACTTTTTTTTTTTGCTTGTCTGCTTAAAACGCATCTTAATTGTTTCTTTTTCGTATTTATATATATATATACTTTTTTCTTTAAAGTTAAGTTTTTGTTTTTAAGTAAATTTTAAATGATAATGGATTTTTTCTTGTTGCTTATTTTTTTGTTGTTTCTTTTGTTTTGTTAGTAAAGTCAGAGAGAATCGGTACATTTTAAGACTACGCTCCCTTTTTACAGGATTGTTAGAAACGCCAGCACACACACATGCACACCCACACTCACACATATACAAATAACATGTCAGTGTTGGTATGTGTGTGCGTATGTTTGTGCATGAGTGCGTGAGCGCATTTTGTGTGTGATTTGTTTGTGTGTGTGTTAGTAAATTTAAATGTATTACTGTGCTGCTGGCTGAGCGGGCGATGCGATGCGATGCAGTTAGCCAGGACTCTTTAGGCAGCCACCTCGCTGGCTTCGGCCCCATTTTGAACTTCATCCTTTGAGCTGGCCTCGTCCAGCTTCGCCTTCTTCTCTGGCGTGGCAACGACCTCGTCGGCTTTAGCGGTAGCATCATCCACCTTTCGCTTCACAGCTTCAGCGGAGGGCGCATCTAAAAATGGGGCAAAAATATGAAAAGAAAATACAAATTAAATTTCAAGTTTCGAGATTATGTCTATTCGTTCACATTTACCTTTTGAGTCACCGTTAGCTGCCTCTGCATCATCGGCACCATTCTCAACGGCTGCGGCGGCCTCGCTACTTGGCTTGGCCTCAGCTGTTGTCTTCTCAGCCTCCTCATCTACCTTCTTCTCATCGGCTGGTGCTGCGGCGTCGGTCTTCTCACCATCAACAGCGTCGGCAGCGGGTGTAGCTTCGGCGCTGGCCTCAGCACCGTTCTCCTTAGCGCCATCGACGCTGCTGCTCGACTCCTCGCCGGCACCGTTCTCTGTGGTGGTCGGTGTCTCTGTTGCTGCATCGTCGGCAGCGACGGCATCCTTCTTTACAGCATCAACCTCTTCAGCGGCAACTTTCTCAACCACGGGGGTCTCGCTGTGATTAGCCAAAAATAACGGGACATTTTATATAAATATACGAAAATTCGAAAATTCAAGTCTGCAGAAATTCAAGCATTTCGCAATTCTCTATCGAGAGAAAGATTTCAAGCATACAAAAGTTTGGCAAAAGCCGTTAACTCCGCAGCCGGCGTCGCTTCCGTGTTGGTTACAACCACCCCCAGTAGAAATAGAGCCAGACACGCACACAATCACATTGTTAAAAGCATCTGCCGCCGCAAATGATAAATGGGAGCAACAACTCGTGGAAACTGCGACGCAAAAAGAAACGAAAAAAGGTGAGCGGCATGCGCTTCAATATATAAAAAAATTGTGCTTTTTCCTTTATACGCCAGCCGGATAATAGGTGTACATAGCATAAAATGCAAAGAGTGAAGAGCAAAGGCAAAACGTGAAAAAAAGCGCGACTTGAAATACAACGAACGTACAGACGAAAAAAAAAACTGGTTTTTATGTTTCCAACACTATGTGCGTCTCCCTCGCACACACCATTTGGGGGATACAATGCGCGCGCGTCACGTACACAAGCGAAACAGCAAACAAAGAGCGAGCAAGAGCGCGCTTAAAGAATTGCATTGCAAGGCAAAGCGGCAAAAATAACGGTCAAAATATACATACACATGACACTCACACAAACACCTACAATACAATACATCAGCTTGCCCCTCACCCCGGCGACTAACACAACCTAAGACAACAGACAAAAGGTTTCTAACGGTTATCTTCAACTGCGTCGCAAGAGTAGTTAAAAGAAAACGCAGAGCGAAACGTAGACAATGCCTATGCGAGCAACCGGCATTGCGTTGCGTTTATTTTAGGCAATGACAAAATATACCTGAAAACAGAATTTGATTTGAGCAGCTCATTAGCACAAAAATGAGCGACAAGAGCGCAAAGAAGCGGCCAACAATGCCAAGCTTTAAGCTTTAAACGAAATATGCGCAAGACAAAACTGACAAAAATTAATGGCCAGACGACAGCGGCAAAAGCAAACAGACGAGACAGACAAAACGACAGCTGAAACTCAAACGGCACACAAAAAAAAGAGCGGCAACTTGAATGTTACACACAGATGCAGTGTGCTCACACAAATATATATACAGACAATACATACATGCATACTTATTTGCGCACTCCGCTTTGCACACAGCACACAGTACGTATATACACACATCCACACATACGGTCAATATATTACTTCTTTGCCTTCACCAGCAGCCGCCACCGCGAACATGCCCAACAACAAGCATGCTGACGAAGTCGCTGTCGCTGTTTGCCGGCCGGAGTGTGAGAGCGAGAAAGCGTCATGACGCCGCGCCAATTTCAACGGCGTCGTTTTTTGCGCGCACATTTGGACAGCTTTGGTGTAAGCGAGACAACTCTATAGATTGTTCAAGCATTTTACGTAGGATAGACACAAAATTCAAAAAGAAATTTTTTCCAAACCGTTGGAAAAAAATTATGTACATCACTTGCGAAATTACCCGCAATTGCCGCTGCATATATTGTTTAAACAAATTCAACGCACACACACATGCAACAAAGGCTAGAGCACACATATTTACACACATATCCAAATAAAATTACTCACTTCTTTTTCTCAGCCACATCAGCCATTTTAACTTTTAAAGAATTACTTTTCAAAGAGAAGCGCGAAAAGTGGTTAGTTATACTTTTTTGCAGTAGCACGCGTACGCAAACACGACTTGTTTTTAATTAAAACCAAAGCACGTAGGTACAAGATTCGCAAATTTCATAAATTTGTGCAATTACTCTTGCTTGACCACTTTTTTCAGGTAGCTCTGCTGCTTTTAAAGTTGAATGCCTGATGGGTTTTTGGTTGCCGTTCAGAATAACGTCCACACAGTTACGCAGAAAAACGCCGAATGAGACAGAGACAGAAGCTGAGGTAACTTTATATACACTAGGTATATTACCATTCACTTCGATTAATTCTAAAACCAAATTAGATATCGATATATTTGCGGTAAAATATATTTAAAAAATTCACTTTTGAATATAGAGTTATGTCACTGGTTATGTGTAATTAATGTGTATTAACTATTACATGCCAATTTAAAAGAAAATATGCTTAAATTCAGATTTAAACTGCATTAAATCGAACACCAGTTGTCGATTATTGCTTTGTGATCAATTCTTAAGTATTAACATAATGTTAAACTCAAAATGGCAATGTTGCATGGGATTATGGCGTCCCACTAGAATGTGGTGAATAGTGCGAGCGCAACAGCATTTCAATAATACGAGCATGTTAGAGTGAGAAAAAATACTTTTACCTTCTCAATAACGCAGCATTATAATTCTTATCGATAGCCATTTAAGTCACGATGTTAAACCACATAAATATTTAATAAAACGATTCATTTAAAAATCATATAAATTTAATAATTAACTACGTTTTTGTTTATTGCTTGGAGTTTGTACAAGCTTTGCATTCTATCACAATTTTTACGAAGTTCCTGAAACACATGCTTTGAGCGGCATCAGTTCAATTACTTTTTTATTTATTAATAATAATTTGAAATCTAAGACATGCATAAAAAGCGTAGTTACTCTTTATTTATATTTGTATTATTTTAGTTTAAGTATTGTTGTAGGTCAGGTTTTACGCTGTAGAGCCATTCATACATAGATACATATATATTTTAAAAGACATTTGTATTTCGGCTTCCGCAATAAAAGGATTAAGAAAACATCTGCTCTTATCTACGGATCATTTTCGTCCAAGCTGTAAGCTGTTTCTAATTGCATACATATGTACATATGTATGTATGTATATAAGTATATACATATGCATATTGGGTATGTACCTACATACGTATGTACATATGTATAAATGCGATGTATGTATGTACATACAAACAAACATACATACATGGATAGCTAATAAACTTAGTTTCCAGAGGCACCATGTAAAGAAACATTAAACAAATTTAAAGAAAAACTTTAGTTTTCGTTAGACTAATCCTATCCCTTAAATGCTTTTAAGGCAAATACTATTTATTTCCCAACACGGTTTCCTTTCTTTTGTTGATTTTTATTGATGCAAGCAAATGAATTATCAACAAGAATACCCCAATAATTAGATACATATGCTAAATATGACGAGTGCAAACTATCGATAGTTATAATAATACGTTTTACTGGTACTGGTACGTTAGCCCGCCAAATGGAAAACTGAGGCAATCAATCAAAGTAATTGTCGATTTGTTTGAGCTCTGAGTTTTGAAAATAAAGCGGAAATTGCAGTAGTCCGAATTCTTAGGCAGGTAGGTAATAGGCGACCTCACAGTTGACGCAGTCGAGACAGATGGATTAGGCGGCATCACGTGCCATTGTGCACGTCCTGGCTTAATATTGTTCTACAGCAGAGGACAGCCGGCTGTTTGTCCTGTTTTATTACCTGGTGCCGCAATTGTTGACTTGACGTTGTTGTTGTTGCTGATGTTGCTTTGTATGCGCGCGCTTTTACATGGATTTTCCAGCTGCATTGCAGGCTCGAAAAGGTGTGAGTACATACATATGTACATTCATACATATGTATGTATATACAAATATGAAGGATATATGTACATACATAGAAGTACATGTATAAATATTGAAATTTTAATAAATAATAAATAAATAAAAATGCCTACATTAGTATAAATTAATATATTACTCTATATATGCAGTAGTCTTATAAGCAAATAATAATTTCCATTTTTTTTAAATAATATTTGAATATATGTACATACATACTTATGGCGCTCATATCCCGTTCAAAATCGTATAAGCATAGCACACATATGCATATGTAGCATACACAGCTATAGACATACATACGTACATATGCATGTACATCCATTTGCTGCTATATTTATATACAATATGTGTGTGTGTGCGTGTGTGTGTATTTGCACAGTGGGCGCTGTTCAAGATTGTGTATTGTCAAATTGAATGGAGTCATACAAGTTTTCTAACATTTGATTTTAAAACTAAATTTATTGTAATATAATGTATATGAAGTAGTTATAATTTAATGACATAGTAAAAAACTAAAAGTTACAATTTTTGTATATGTGTTAATATATGTATGTACCAATATTACTTGGATTTGTTTGTACGTTCACATATGTATGTACATTTTAGGTAATATAATATTAGTATCCGTTAGAGGCTAGTTTATTTATTTTTTCCTTTATAATTTATTGGTATTCATCCCATTGAAAATACCATTGTATCCCATTCAGCATATTGCTCTTTAACATGCATTACATTTACGATTCTGGCAGCCGCAGCTGCATCCTGTGGCGTGCCCAAGGCCAGGTGCCGTTTTTGTGTTTGTCGGCGGCGTCGACGTTGCTGTTGCTGCCGACGTCTCTGACACAGTTGATAGCCATTTTAGTAACATTTTTCTTAATAATTAATTTTATGAGCCTGCGGCAATTCGAGTAATCAAGCTTAAGTGCGAGTGTGGTGTCTTGTTACATACATACAAACACATATGCACTTTCAACGACAGTGCGTTATCAAGCTGCACAGCTGTACCGTTATCAGTTGCAGTCCGCTCTCAATGACATGCGCTCACAGAGCTTGCAACGGAAAGCTCTCTCACAAGAGCAGCTTACGTTGAAGAGAGCAAAATAGAGAGAAAGAGAGAGAGAGAGAGAGCGCTCATGTTTGGCGCTTATATAGAAAGTCCTTGCTGCTGGTGCTGCTTTTACTGCTACTGTTGAGCTGTTGACTGTCAAAAATTTTCACTTAACAATCAGTCAAGTTTATCGTGCGTCTTAGTTTAGCTCGCAGAAATTAGCTCGCGCGACGCTTGCGACAGAAAAATTGGTCCGCAGCAGCAGCCGCAGCCGCAGCACCAGCAGCAGAAAGAGCAGGCAGTTCAACAAAAAAAAATATATATATGTATATTGAAAAACCACAACGAAGCAATTAAAAAAGGTTAATTCAATTAACTCGTGTGCAATGATATAATTCTAGTCATGTAAAAAGTGTAAAAAACATCTGCAGCAGGCAGAATTTTCTGTACATGCTTAAACCGTTATCGCAGCCTCCATACAAAAAAGAATGATATGCAGAAAAAACTGTAAACTGTGCTGCCTAGTTTTGTGCGCGAGCCGTTGTTTATTTAAATTAAAATTAGATCCGAAATTGACTGTAAATGCATAAAGTGTGTACACACACATAAACACGAAGACAAACACACTCAGCAACACACTCACACACACACAGGAACGAAATCACAACGCATTAAAACGAACCTTGAGCAAATCAGCCTTAAACACACATAGATAAACACACACAAGAATACAGATATAAATATATATATTTATATACTTATATACATACGGACGTACATCCACGAGTGTAGCTGGAAGTAAAGGATTTTTGTATGCCAAGAAAAGAAGCAACGAATTCGGCAATAAGGATACGCCAACCAACTGAAGAGGAAACAGCATGTTGGCCAGGTAGCTGAAAAGAGAGAGATAGGGGAGAGGGAGAGCGAAAACGAGAGACGGACAGTCGAACAAAGTGAGACACACTGAAGCGTGCGAGTGAGTGAGAAAGAGAGAGCGCGTCAGGGCAATATGTGCACTGTGGTCTGTGTGTGTAAAATGTGACTTAAAAATATTAACATAATTTATGTAAACGGTTATTAGGCGCTATGAAAGAAAATTTAACAACTCAATTTACATTCGGTAGAAAAATAAAATAAATAATATGTACAAGAATATAATAGAGCTGGCATAATATTAATTAATATGTTTTAATATCTCTTCTAGTTTTTGTTCATACATTTTTTCTATCTTATCTAACGATAAGACGAAGCCATGTGTTACGGGCAGTACTCTTTAATGGTGGAGTAAATCAATTCAATTAATGGTTTCAAATATAATGATTGTTTCATTCAAATTAACTCAAAAGTTGATAAGATAAAAGTTTGAGGTGTGTGGAGGACGTCTCTGCATTGTAATTTCCGTTAGTCAATACGTATTATGAAATTGAACTTATCTGATTTATATTCGTAGTGCAATCAATAGAAATATTTTTAGTGTGCAGTATTTGCCAAGACTATTAACTTTAGTTAAAAAAAAGCAGTGATTAGATAAAATAAACTGGTAGATTTAATAAACATTCAGCGAGCTTGAAGAAATGATAGCACAAATATACTACAATTTGTATGACTAAGAGCTAAAAATCATATATCAAGTATATTAAAAGATTTTGTTTAAAACTCATTTGAATTAAATGTGCAAAAAGCTTTACAATATTATTCATAAAACGTAAAGAAAGCAGAAGAGACGTTTTGTTAATTGCTTACAACTAAATCATCTTCAATTAGTTAATTAATTGTTTCGAGCACACTGTATAACGGTTAGGAGCTTTCTGCTTAAGGCAGGCACACGAGCACACTAACACACACACACACACACACACACACACACACTCACACATTGCGGCACTCGCACACAGGGCCACGCTCATGGCTCTCGTACAAGGACGCTTCCGCCTTGGCGCTCTCTCATACACTAACACACTTATATTAAACGAGAGAGAGAGAGAGAGAGGGAGAGTGGACGCCACAAGGCAATCGACAATGTTAAGCCTCAAATTTACCGTTAACGTTTGTGTTTTGTGTACAAGTTTCGTATTTGAGTTTGTGTTTTATATTATTCTATTTACCAACGCGTCCTCTCGCAGCTTCAGCTCCGGATCCAGCATAAATAAGTAAAGATAAGACGGCTTACTGAAATGGCCCCACTTCAATTATAAAAACAAAATAATAATAATAATAATAATATTAATAACAACAAAAAACAAGTGCGCCGATCAACGAAAACTTTGCAATCGTGCAACAGAAGACCTCGCAACATGCCGGAAGAGAAGGCAGCAAATCTCGAGAATGGCCAAACAACGGCAGCATCCACGCCCAGTAAAACCAAACGTCAAAGGACACCAACACGTCGACGTCCGCCAAACGAGAGCGACGTCGTCGCTGGGGGCGTGGGCATTACCGGCGGCGGTGTGGTCATCCTGCCCCAGCATGTGCTCAACGAACTCTATCACAACTATTCCATTAAACAGCGACGCAGCGGCCTTAAGTGGTTCCTGTTTGCGGCCGTGCTCTTTAATCTCTGGACGATTTGCATACCCTGGGAGCAGGCGTTTCTCACAAGAGGTCAGTCAGTTTATTTTCACTTAATGTTTGTTCAATCGTTATCTTAATTTAAATTTTAAATAATAAGAGCTGAGCTAATTTTAAATAGTAAGAGCTCTAGATGTCTTATCTTAAGAGAGTTTAGTTCATTTTAAATTTGAAATTTCTTTATAATAATTCTGTTGGAAATTATATTTTTATTATTTATATTTATAATAACATTTGCCGCTCTAATATTGCAGTCTGAATTCAGTATCAAGTAATTTTTGTGAGCAGTTGTATATTTAATAATTTTATAAGTGTCCATATTTTCTCAAAATGGATTCATGATCAATTTTAAATAATTTTAAATGACGATTAATTCAATATAAATACTTAAGATATTTAAATGAATTTTAGGTTATGATAAATCGAATATTCCTCGCGATGGGATAAAGCTATTTATATAGAGATCTATTGTAATAAGGTGCAGGTTCTAATTCCTTTACAAGCTCTAAAAATTTAATTAGTTTACCTTGATTATTAATTAGTTTCTGACGCTGATCTCTGTAATTAAAAAAAAATTATCTTTAAAAAACTTTATTCTAATTACATATTATATTATATTATATTATAGTGTTAATTCTTAAATTAGTATTAAATTTCACTTTATATTAATTCAAATTTCTCTGAACTCTCCATTAAAATCGCCCTCCTCAGTGGTCAACTGCAGCATGCTGTTGGCCTATTTGGCGCTGACGGCTCTGCTGCACATTGGACGCCAGTCGGAGCAGCCAGCCCTGAGACGCTTCCATCATTCGCTGTTGACAATTGTGCCGCGAGCCTTGTGGTTCCTCTCGATGCTGCATTTCGCCGCCTATGTGATGCTGCAGGCCAGCTTCTCGCCGCGGTAAATACAGTTCTAGCTCGAATTTGTTCAATAATTGAATAGATGAATTACATTTTTTAGAGATGTTCTTGGCTGGGCGATTCTCTTGAACTTCCTAATATATGTGACATTGCCATTGCCGTTGATTTTTTTGGGTCTGGTAATTGGCTTTTGCACGTACTTCAATTGCTTGAGTCTGCCCGTTGGCTTCTCACGTCCAGATCCTTTAATCTCAGATCAGGCGGCGGCTAATGCCGTTTTAATAGCCACCGCAGCGTTAATTGGCCTTTTATATTACTTCATGGGCGAGGCGAAGCAGAAACGCGCCTTCCTGGAGGCCAAAAAGAGTCTGGAGGTGAAGATGGTCATTGAGGAGCAGTCGGCAGAGCAGGTATATACATACATATATATCATTGAGCTCTTAACTCTTTGCATTGTGCTTAACTTTATGTTTGTCTTAATCTAAAGGAACGTTTGCTGCTATCCGTGCTGCCCAAGCATGTAGCTATCAAGATGCGCGAAGACCTGGGCTCATCTAGTTCAGAGGCCTTCAAAAAGATCTACATGAGTCGACATGAGAATGTGAGGTAAGTCTTAACTTTTACTTTAAATGCTACAAAAGATTGGAGAAGTCATTACTAACTCTTTGAGATATATAACTAAAGGCTAACAAATTATAGACTATTTCTTTGTGTATCATACTGTCAGACTTAAAGATAGACTTTTACTCGTTATCCAACTTACTATTCGTAAATGATGCTGAATTGAATATATATCATTCTATTCCAAAAGGGATATCTCTCTCTGCTGACTCGTTACTCGTTATTCCCAATGGTTATGTCCACTTCCTATACTAATATTACTTATTTAGCCATAAAAATCTCATATAACAATATTAACACCTATAATATCGCCTTGGGGCATTTTTATTACGATATTGAAATGTGTTTTAAGGAATTTTCCTAACAGTTTCTGTTCAGCTTTATTAGTTCCGCTGAGTAATACAGCGTTTGCTTAATTGGCTCATTACCAGACGACTTCGAATATATTTATATATATAAATTTGGGAAAGAACCAGCTCTGTAGCGCGTATTTTAATCTATGTATGTATGTATATATAAATATATATTCTTTTTCGCACCCACCAAAAGCATACTGTATGCGGATATTGTCGGCTTTACCGCCATCTCCTCGACGTATAGCGCCCAAGATCTGGTAAAAATGCTAAACGAGCTCTTCGCACGCTTCGATAGGCTCGCCGAGGTAAAGTGGAAACAACTTTCCTTTTGTGTTCCGCCAGCTATTCTTGATTTTTGTTTTCTCTTTTGCACTGCTTTTCTTTTTGTTTGATTGTTTTTCTCTTTGAGTGTGTTTTCCAGCTGTTCGTTCACCTGCCCGGTCCCGTAATAATCTCTTAAAATAATGTTGATGATGATGTTTAAGATAAGCATCTGAGAATTTTGTTGTTCTTTTTTTCTTTTCTCGTTTTTCATTTCCTTCAATTGCGCATTTCGAACTTTAATTTGAGTTCTGCTTCTTGCGTTTGCTCTTCGCCATTCATCTTCATTTTCTTTTGCATACTTTTCTTCATATCTGTAATGGGCTGCTGAGTGGGCGGGGCGAGGCGGTACGGTTCGGTGCGCTGGCAACAAAAGTTACGCTCAGTCAGCCGTGTGAAATGTGTCGAGTTGATTTTTGCTCTCATGCGATTTTTCTTTTCGGAGCACTGCCTAAAAGGTCCTTTAAATTTAGGCCCAGTTAATTTGCTGCAGTATTTTTTACAATTTTTCCTGAGTTTTTCTTGTGGAAACTTTTTGTTGCCCTGGGTTTTGTTTTTATTGTATTCTATTGGCTTTGCAGCAAGTTTTCGGTTCATTTGCTTTGTGGCCTGGGATTTGAAAGCTAAGTTTGGCTTTTGAAGGGAATAATTTAGGGCTATAAATAAATATACATATATTAGTATGTGTGTATTGTTTTTAATGTTGATTATATTTTTTGTACTTTACCAGGTTTCGTTTTAATACAATTCAGCTAACTGTTTTGCTTAGATTGTTAATTTACAGTTTATTTTAATTTAGCTAAGTTTCTTATAAAATAAGAATACCGATTCAGTTATATTTTATATACTTTTGAATTAATAAAATTGATGAAATAAATAATAGTAATAAAATTAAAAAATAATTAAAAAATAAATACTTTAAAAAAAATATTAAAAATAAAATAAAAATAAAAGTCAGTAAATAAAGAAAAAAAATTAAATAAAATAAAACAAATTCGTAGCTCTTGAATAGTACGAAATAATATTATCTAAATGTCTTGTATGACTCCGCATAAAATAATTGTCATTAATTTATTGAGTTATATTTATTTATATTTTTATATTTATTTATGTATCATTAGTATACTGTTATTAGTTATTTATTTTACATAAAATATTAGCTCGTTCTTCTACCTTCGCTTATACATATTTCTGAAAATGTCACTGAACGGCTTTTAGTTAGTTGATAGTCTGATTTTTTTCATATATTTCTTATTCTTATATACGTCAGATCTTGTAAATTTTGTGCCTTTTATAATAATACTTAATTTTAATTATCTATTTCTTATGACATATTCTCTACATTAAAGTTTGTTTCTAGGCTTTTCATAGATAACTAATTGCCTGCTCTATTATTAACTCCGTTTTTTTGGTACCTTGATTATCTATTCATTTTATTGATTTGAAGACCCACAATTAACAAAATTTGAGCATTGCTGTCGTGCCTAATCGACGTTCAGCCTTAAACGGAGCCCAGCGCTTTGATTAGCCCGTTTCAATATATAAAGAGTCTAACTAACACCTTTTACCGCCCCTTACAGAAGTACCAACAGCTGCGCATTAAAATTCTCGGTGATTGTTATTATTGCATTAGCGGAGCGCCCGACGAGCGGCCGGATCATGCCGTGCTCTGCGTTCACATGGGACTTTCCATGGTGAAGGCCATCAAGTGAGTTTAGCAGTGACAACAGCAGACAGAGTGCCAGGACACTCAGTCAAGCAATGGACTCATGGGACAGCAACAACGACAGGCGACGGGCGTTGTCAAATCAACGTTTGTTCAATTAAATGTAATTGCTCTTAACCACGCGTCGTCTTGTCCGACTGTCCGCCTGTCCGCCTGTTGTTGCCCCTTTGTGTCGTCTAGGATATAGTTTATATGGCACTATTCTTCTATGTATATACACATTTAATTCATCTAGATATGTGCAGCAAAAGGCAAACTCACCTGTTGATATGCGTGTGGGCATACACACGGGCGCTGTCCTGGCCGGGATACTGGGCCAGCGTCAATGGCAGTTTGACGTTTACTCCAAGGACGTTGAGCTGGCCAATAAAATGGAGTCCAGCGGCAAAGCCGGGTGAGTCCAATGCATAATTGATTGCATTAGAAAATAGTAGCTGGTCTGGGCTGGGCGGGGCTGTTTCAAACTGTTATGATTTGTCCTTGTCACTTCGATATGCAAATTTATAGACCCGGGCACACCCTCGTCGACACTTGCATTTACTTTTTGCATTTAGAATTTTTTCTGTTTTCTGTTTTGCATTGCAGACGTGTACACATTTCCGACAAAACATTGGCCTTTCTCAATGGCGAATTCGAGGTGGAGCCGGCCTTTGGCGAGAAGCGGGAGGAGCTGCTGCGCATAGCTGGCCTGAAGACATATTTTATAACGAAAGTGGTTAAACCGGTGGGTGCAGATTGTTAGCCAGGCAAGCAAGTGTCCTAATCTGTAAATTTGTAAACATTTTTAGTTCGCCTCGCCCTGCGGCAAGAAAATCAACGAATCGAAGCCTGAGAACACCAATCACAGTCCCGACTCGAATCCCAGCAGCAACAGCAGCAACGAGAGCAACGAATGCGCTGGCGATGACAACGATGCCACAGTCGATGACGAGGAGCTCTTAGCACAAAGTGTCGTCATCAATGGACACAATCCCACAGCCGCCGAGGATGAGGAGGAGCAAATAAAGCTGGAGAATTTCAAGCAACGTTTAAAAGATGAGCTGGTCACACGCGACGGTCACGAGTATGTAATCTAACTGCCTTCCAGTTACTCTGTTATCAAATATTAAAGTCTAATTAACTCATATTTTGCTCACACAGAAATCTCACCAAGGACACAAACATCTTTTTGCGCTTCAAGAATCCGCAACTGGAGCAAGCCTACGCCGTCTATCGGGAGCCGTACAGCTCGCTGCCCTTGCTGGCCGCCCTGCTGGTGCAGTGCATCGATGTTTTGTACTCCTATTTGGTGTTGCCGCGCTCAACGCTGCATTTTATAAACATTGCTGCGCCGCTGGTGCCCATCGCCATGCTGGTGGCGATTAGCATTGCCGAAAGCTTTAGCGGCATGCTGCCCAAGTTCTTCGTGGATGTGAGCAAGCGTTTCAATGACATTACCTTCGTACGGGAGCTGGCGGCCATAATTATAGCACTTACCATTGGCCTCAGCAATGTCATCGACATGGTTAGTATGCGGTTAGACTTCACTGTATGGGGCGTGCTCAAGTCCTTATTGATTTTCTTGCGGCTGCCCTGTAAAAGTTTCCTAAGAATATTGTAGTTGGGTAATTGTGATACGGAAGTGTTGTATGTACCTTTGAATAGTTGATATATTTCTAATGGACACTCGAATTTAAGTTGTGTCTCCATAATGAAGTCAACTCAATATAGAAAAACTTGAAATCTATTGTTAGAGTATATACATATATATATATATTATAGATTCTCATGTGAAGCTACATATGTATATTGTGAATAATTTAGTGGTTCTTCTGCTTCCACAATTCCATAATTACTCATCATCATGTTCTTTACACACAGTGCAGGGTATATTTGAAGTCATCCATCTCTATGCACACCTCTAACATTGTTTCCTGTGTTTGTTGCAGTTTTTCTTTGTCACCTTCGTGCGCACCGAGCACATTGTTAGCGAGAGTGAATTCAATGCCACGGGCGGCCTAGAGGAGGTGGCCACCGCCGAGCACCTGCTGCCTGAATCGTTTGTGGAACAGATGCGTGAAGCGGTGCCCACCGAGCGTGTCCTATATCCGTCCTATTTGAGCAACTTCAGTGTCCTCATACTAATCGCCATTGCTGTAATTGCACAGCTCACGCACTTGACCAAAATCCTGTTGCTCTTGTCCATTGCAGGTGAGTTTTGTTTGCTTGCAATTTGATCGTAAATCTTTTCAAGCTAATCGATTTTTATTTTGGATTACTCTCAGCTCTGCATTGCTATTTCAATGTGTGCATTATGCAGGATTTGTACATTCTGGAGGATGATCTGGCACACCAGCCGTAAGTTTAGTTAGAGACATAGAGCAAATGTGTTGTACGAATATTAATTAAATTTTTTTTTTTTTTTAATTTTTAGTCTCATATCAACGCGTTATTGTGCTTCAGGTCTGCTTCTTGTGGCGGCACTGTCACTCAGCTTTTTGGCAAGACATGTAAGTACATATTTATATCAGATAGAGAAATTGGAAATACAGTCGAGCCAAAATTTTAGAAATTTATTATATTTTACTCACATTTTCATTACTTTCTTTAGTTTAGTTAACAGTCAGAAAACCAATTAATAACATTAATATTATTTAAATTATAGTTATTACATTTTAATGAATCTATATTAATTTTCAAACAGATGGACCACGAGGATCGTGTTATATTCAAATGGAAAACTGAGGTCGCCGAGCAGAAGGAAACCGCCAACGATATGCGTCAGCGCAACGAGGCTTTGGTCTATAATGTGCTGCCCGTGCATGTGGCCGAGCATTTCATGAAGAACACAAAGCGCTCCCACGACGATCTCTACTCGCAGAGCTATGCCGAGGTGGGCGTGCTCTTCGCCAGCATGCCAAACTTTTCAGGTAAGATATTAACTGTTATATATTTAAGATAGAACTAAAGCATTGGTCGTACTCCACAGATTTTTATTCGGAGGAAACCGTTAACAATCAGGGCCTGGAATGCTTGCGTTTTCTGAATGAAGTCATTTCCGATTTCGATGCGGTAAGACAAGTGTATAGAGTATATATAGATCTATATAAAAATCTTGTTCCTTTTAGCTATTGGAGCTACCACAGTTTCAGGACATCATTAAGATAAAGACAATTGGATCAACTTATATGGCAGCCAGTGGCATTAATTTGCAGCGCAATTTACGCACTGATGCGCCCATTACCGAGCGCTGGTCCCACTTGGCGGTTCTGGTGGAATTCGCACTGGAGCTAAAGCACGCACTGCAGGGCATCAATGAGCAGTCATTCAATCATTTCGTACTCAAAATGGGCATCAATCATGGACCGATAACGGCGGGCGTGATTGGCGCCCGGAAGCCACACTACGATATCTGGGGGAATACGGTGAATGTGGCCTCCAGAATGGAGAGCACCGGTAAAGCGGGTGCCGTGCAGGTCACCGAGGAGACCTGTAACATATTGCAGCAGTTCGGATATACGTTTCAGCAGCGCGGACTGGTGGCTGTAAAGGGCAAGGGCCAGCTGATGACCTACTATTTGCAGGTGGGTTGGGTAAGGAGCATTGTATGTTCACTCTCAAGCTTATTTCTCGGACTAATTGCAGGGCAAAACTGAGAGCAGCGCTGCGGAGGCAAAGGCAGCCGTTGAGCTGCATGAGAAGGAGACGGTGGCCACGGCAGCTCCAGTGCCAGTTAGTTTGGAGTGCAGCGCCGAGCTAGAAGCAGACATAAAGACACCACTGCTTAAGCTTAAGGCACAGGATGCAGCAACGGAAGCCGCGGCAGAATCATGTTTGGGCAATGGCAATGTTGCGGAATCTCAATCCTTGTTGGAGTGAATTGAGAATGTATTACATTTGACATATTGAAAATGTGTGTGTGTATGTGTGTGTTAGAGTGTGTGAGTGTGCGTGTGCGTGTGCTTGTTTAAGCGTGAACATATAGTTAACTGTTATACAACTGTTATACTTGCTACATTTGGTTTGCCTATATTCGTGTGATATTCTCTGCTACGTGAACAACTTTGAAACAAACAGCAAATGAAATGAAGCATAAGAAAATTGATACTCTTTAGTTGTAACTGGTCTTCGCTTTTGAAAAGTTTGTAAACTGTGTACCTTAAACATTTATAACTATAACTTAAGTATTCAAATTTATTGTGAGTGTTTTGTTTTAAACAAATTGTTATTTCATTTACAAATTATATAGTAGAAAAGTAACTGTAACATAATAAATTATTTGCTTAACAACATTAGTGGATGTGTAGTTGAAAATTATTAAGAATCCATAACATCAATTTATAAACTCTAGTTTTAGGAACTTAAATTAAATTATACATATATAAACTAATTGCATTACTTTTCGTAAATGGAAAAAACCAAACAAAGTACTTCTCGACATAAATGTGCTTAAAATGTAACTATATAATAATACAAATTAATTCAATCTCAAAAAACGCAAATACATAATTAATGCAAATGTGTAGACTAAGTCGAGATAATGAAATTGAGAATCCGTATCCCACCACACAACAAAAAATGCAACCCACAAGCAAGTCCAAAAACGAAACAGTTTAACAAATTGTATGTACTATACTTATGGTAATAATTACATATAAACTATTAGTGAATATATAGCATTAAATAATGCCCCAAACTAGTGGAAGAGCAATAGTAGGCAAATAATTTAAAGAATTCGGCATGCATATTACACAAAATAAATAAACAGAATATAGACTATTCTTATGGAAACATTGATAAATAATAACATATACATATGCATAACATATACATATATAGTCTACATATACATTAGCATGCATACATAGAGAAAGCGTCGCATGTTTACTAGAGAACTTCAACGAATTAGTCAAAAAGAAAAAACTACAAACGAACTTACATAACAAGATAAACTCACTTGAAAATTACATCAATATATAAAATAATAAAAACAAGAGAATTGAGAAAACAAACGAATGGTAACTCCAGTTTATAAGCATTTTTGTCCATTGGTTGATTTCGTTAGCCTGACCTAAATTGTTTTGTTATTAATGGCTTAAAGCATGACAATCAACGAAAAATATGTAATTTAAAGGCATAACGATGATTGCTTAATTTCTAAACCAAAATCGCAAAAACTTCAAAATTATGTTATTTACTTTTTTTACATTTTTTATTTATTTTCTTTGTTATTAAATATTTGAGAATTACCTAACAAAATTAATAAAAAAAAAAAAATCCATTAGTATATGTGTAAGTGTTGTGTTTTAAGCTATTAACATAAAATCTAACATGACACTTTTATATAGTTTCAATGACAAAACAAAAATAGCTAATTATAGGAAAAAAGCAGAAGCCTAATAAATCTACATAAATATATATACAACAAAATTTTGCATTTATCTGAACATCATTTTGAAATTTGCGGGCACTAACAGGTCTTATTAACAGCAGGTGGCTAGAGTCACTGTTAAAATACTCAGTTGGTTATGCTAAGAACAGTTTTTTTTTTAATGTTAGCTAACAGCTCTCTCGTGACGTCACATTTTGAGTTTGTATTTTGTTTGGCAGGCACAAATTCGACATCCTTAAAGTTTTTATTCCAAGTAATCAAAGTAGATAATTTTAATGCTAATTTATATAGTAAGTTTCAAAAAATGATGAGTTCCTCGTTTTGTTTCCTTCATGTATTCGAATTCTAACTTATTGGATTATTGAACAAGAAGGCGCAATAACTTTGTACTTTAAATTTCATATAAATTTCCTAATATACATATGTAATTTGATTAGTTTTAAAAAGTGAAAATCTGTTGATGATCGACCACTCGTATGTTGCGACACTGTCACAACAGTCCCGTAGTAATCGTTATCGTTATCGTATTACGCTGTTGCAGGGCTGCATAGAATCACTATCATTGTCGAAATGGACTGGCAGCCTTGTCGCCGTAACATAAGAGTTCATTTTGGATTGTAAAAAAGTGCAAAAATCCTAAATTCTACGCATAAATAATTAGTACATAGTGTAATTAAGAAGCGTGTAAGTGTACCACGCGTTGCCGTTGCAGCGTATAGCAAGTGCTGATATTTTGAGGGCCAACTGCATTCAATGTTGCAACTCGAGGCTGTCGACGTCGTCGTCGTCGTTGTCGTTTGTCGTTGTTGCCCACATATATTTCTCATTTTTTTTTTGGCCTGGGGCTCTGCTGATTATGCCCGATGGCAGCAACGTACGAGGGGCGACGCAATTGTATTTTATTTATAACAAAATGCGCGTTTAAAGGCAAATTCAAGTTGTATACGCTCGTCACAATTTCTTTTTTATTTTAATATATTTTGTGTTTTCAATGATATTGTGCTAATCGTTTTCTTCTTACTTACCACTTACCAACACCGATCAAAAAAAGTTAAGCAAACAATTTACATCCTCCCACACACACACACATCGAGATGGCCGAGATGTCGCTCAAGCCAAAAAGAGTGGAATTTGGTGAGATCTGGAATCCGTTGAGTCGCACTGTCGAATCACTGATAACATTGCGCGCAGTTGATCGCAAAGTCTGGAATGCATGCTTTTCGTGAGTATTTGCTCCTGTCTACCGCAAAAAAAAAAAAAAAATAAATAAATAAATAAACAAAAAATACGATAGATAAAACTATAAAATATTAATAGCAACCATATAATAATTAATAATACATAAAGAGAAAATGTTATTCGGTGTTTGTTAAATGTTGAATATTGATAACATATAAATTGCATGCGTTCCACTGTGCTACGCAGCATGATTTGCCAAAATTGAAAACATTTTCTTAGAGACAAACATTTACATAGTATATGCACATATTTTCAATAAATTTTTAAAATGTGTGTCTAAAAAAAACATACACACCTTCTTATATCCACTTAGTGATGTCTATACGTTGTGCGTGGCACAGCCGGAGCCAATGGCCGATCGACTCTATACCGAAACAAAGAATTTCCTGGAATCACACGTCCGGGAGATGCTGGCCAATAAGGTGATGGCGAAGCATGATGAAACCAATGCAAATAATACGAATAGCAGACCAGATCTACTGCAGCGATATTATAACACCTGGAGGGAATATAGCCAGGGCATCCAGTATCTTCATAAATTGTACAAGTAAGTGGTTTGCCCAACTAATCAATTGTTTTTGATTAACATGAATTATATGGTAATTGTTTACTGCCTTGCAGTTACTTAAACCAGCAGCACATCAAAAAGCAAAAGATCACGGATACGGATACAATGTATAGCAATCAGACCAGTGCGGCCGAGCAAATGGAAATTGGTGAGCTTGGCTTGAATATTTGGCGTGTGATTATGGTCGAGTATCTGGCCGAGGATCTGGTGCGTCACATATTGGAGGGCATTGCAGCGGATCGGGCCAGCAACGGAGCACTCGATTCGCATCGCGTACAGGTCATCAATGGCGTTATACATAGCTTTGTTGAAGTGGAGAACTATGAGAAGGTCATCAATGACATTGAGAACAACGTGAATAACGAAAAGACTCAAAAGCCAGACTCGTTAAATTTAAAACTGTATCAGGAGCACTTCGAGGGACCGATGCTGGAGGCTAGCGGCGCCTACTATACGATTGAGGCCAATAAGCAACTGCAACATTGCAACGTTTCACAGTACATGCAAGAGGTTATCAAGATACTGGAGTGTGAGACTAAGAGAGCGGAAAAGTTTCTTCATAAAACTTCATTGCCAAAGCTGCGCAAACAATGTGAAGAGAAATTCATTAACGATCGCTTGGGCTACATATATTCAGAGTGCCGGGATATGGTGTCGGACGAGAGGCGTCAGGATTTACGTAATATGTACATTGTGCTCAAGCCCATACCAGATAATCTAAAAGCGGAACTGATACAAACCTTTCTGGAGCACATCAAAAACGAGGGTCTGGAAACGGTGTACGCGCTCAAGGGCGAGAATATACATATTTCTTTCGTTGAGAATATGCTGAAGGTGCATCACAAGTATCAGGAGCTGATTGCCGATGTCTTTGAGAACGATTCATTGTTCCTTAGCGCTCTGGACAAGGCCTGCGCCAGCGTTATCAATCGACGTCCCAGCGAACGGCAGCCATGTCGTAGCGCTGAGTATGTGGCCAAATACTGTGATACACTGTTAAAAAAATCTAAAACCTGCGAAGCGGAAATCGATCAGAAACTCACAAATAGTATAACAATATTCAAATACATTGAAGACAAGGATGTGTTTCAAAAGTTCTACAGTCGATTTCTAGCGAAGCGTCTCATACACGAGCAAAGCCAGAGTATGGATGCCGAGGAGGGCATGATTAATCGCTTAAAGGTGTGTGTGTGTGCTCAAATAACTTATTTCCCTTATATATGTATGTATATATATATTCAAAAATTTATATATTGCAGCAAGCTTGTGGCTATGAATTCACCAATAAACTGCATCGCATGTTCACGGATATTTCAGTCTCCACAGATTTGAACAATAAGTTCAACAATCATTTAAAGGACAACGATATTGATCTGGGTATGCGAGCAGTCTATATGATTATATAGATGAAAATATTGATTTTTAAGGAAGAATTTGTTACACTAATCTACATTTTTCGTTCAGGTATAAATCTGTCAATTAAAGTGCTGCAGGCGGGCGCTTGGCCCTTGGGCTCGACACAGGTTATACCATTTGCAGTGCCCCAGGAATTTGAAAAGTCTATCAAAATGGTAAATTGAAAGAATTCTGTCTTTTTAATAAAGCAATTCAATAATGTCGAAATATGTTTCCAATTCCAGTTTGAGGACTATTATCATAATTTATTCAGCGGTCGCAAATTGACCTGGCTGCATCATATGTGCCATGGCGAACTGAAGCTGAGTCACCTCAAGAAGTCCTACATTGTGACAATGCAGACGTATCAAATGGCAATAATATTGCTTTTCGAGACCTGCGATAAGCTCAGCTGTCGGGAGATCCAGAATACGTTGCAATTAAACGATGAAACATTTCAGAAGCATATGCAGCCGATGATTGAATCCAAATTGTTAAATGCCAATTCAGAGAATCTCTCGGGTGATACGCGCATCGAATTGAATTTCGATTATACCAATAAGCGTACCAAATTTAAGATAAGCTCGGCGTTACAAAAGGAAACGCCCCAGGAGGTCAGTGCAAAAAAAATCATAGAATTTTATAGATCACATATGACTGAATGCTTATTATTTAGGTGGAGCATACGATTAACTCGGTGGATGAGGATCGTAAACTGTTTCTGCAGGCTGCCATTGTGCGTATTATGAAGGCGCGCAAAGTCTTAAAGCACAACGCTCTGATACAAGAGGTATGGGAACGCATCTTCTGGTTAATATATTTAAGCTGATTCTATATGTCTTCTGTCAACAGGTACTGTCCTTATCGAAAGTTAGTTTTACGCCCAATATCGCCATGATAAAAAAATGCGTTGAATCGTTAATCGACAAACAATATATTGAGCGTACGGCTAACTCTGGTGACGAGTATAGCTATATGGCTTAGACTGCGGATGGCTCGGACGGCTAACTAGAGATTACTACAACGGAAAAGAAATTAGCTGAAAAGAATGATAAACAAAATAAACAAACTACAAATAAACAAGCAAAGCAAAAACAAAAACGAATAAAAACCTACACTAATTCACAATGCACAACAAACCAAGCAACATATAAATAATTGTAATACCTTGTACTGCATTACACTGAGGCATATTTTGTAAAATCTTTTTAAAATTCATGACAAGCAAAGGCAGCAGCAATTACAACTAAAATATCTCGTAAATGCCGTAAGGTTAATGCAAACAATACTTTTTAGTTTTTTTTTTCGTTTCTGTTTTTTTTATGTTTTTTACTGTCTACAAATCCTACTAAAAATGAAAAGAAGAAGGCGTATAACGCCTCTCATGACTGCAAAGCCCTCCAATATGAGACGCACCAGATCTCCGACCATATTCATCCGCCACACATTCAGGCCAAGCTCACCAATTTCCATTTGCTCGGCCGCACTGGTCTGATTGTATCCGTATCCGTGATCTTTTGCTTTTTGATGTGCTGCTGGTTTAAGTAACTGCAAGGCAGTAAACAATTACCATATAATTCATGTTAATCAAAAACAATTGATTAGTTGGGCAAACCACTTACTTGTACAATTTATGAAGATACTGGATGCCCTGGCTATATTCCCTCCAGGTGTTATAATATCGCTGCAGTAGATCTGGTCTGCTATTCGTATTATTTGCATTGGTTTCATCATGCTTCGCCATCACCTTATTGGCCAGCATCTCCCGGACGTGTGATTCCAGGAAATTCTTTGTTTCGGTATAGAGTCGATCGGCCGTTGGTGTGTGTGTGCATTAAGTGAGTACATGTAGTACGTGTTCGTCAAAAATAAAATGTGTTTGTCTAATCATGCGGTCTTGCACAGTGGAATTGCATGTAATTTTGTATGTTGCAAATATTCCTAAAATATTTCATTTAATGAAATTTTATTAGTGCTTCTCTGTAACTAAAAATTTCATGTTCCACATAATTTTTTGTGTTCCTGTTTTCTATATCTATTTTTATATCAAGTATTTGTCGTGCTTGTTTTAAAATTGTGTAGTAAACAAAAGCAATATATTGCATTTTCTATTTTGACTGAAAAGTTCTTCTACTTTTTATTATCTAAAAATAAATATATATAAATCTCTCACTTACCATTTTCATTTTCGATCTTTCTCAATGAAACAACAGTTTTGTAATATTTTTCAAAATTTGCAATGCTATTTTTATTTCATTTCATTAAATGTTAATTTTTGTTTTATATATATATATAAATAATATATATATTTTTAAAATTCATTTGTTCTTGCTAAAAAATTATATCATTTGCTTTGTTCTGTCTGTGCATAACTTTTTTCATAGCTCTTTTATTCATATTAGTGTGTGAGTGTTCGAATTGTTATTGTAATTTGTCATTATTATTATTGTTTTTTTTTTTTTTTTTTTTTTTTTTTTTTTTTTTTTTTTTTTT